TGGTTAGATACACCTTATCTCTGAGACTTTATAAAAATCAATTTATTGAACAAGTTAACCAGTTTGCTAAAGAGGGAAAATTGCCAATGAGTTCAAGGTAACAGCAATTTCAAACACACTGTAAGCTGATTAGCTTCAAACACAGAAACTGCTTCCTGGCGAGAGAGACCTGTAGCCTGCTGGCTGTCTTGGAGATTTGCAGAACCGGTCACAGGAGGTACCAGGCAGAAGCATGTGCAGCGGGTGAAGGACAAGACCTTATTAGGAGAGTCTCCCAGGAAGCAGGGGAAAGGCAAACAGAGGGCATTCCTTTATGATGATGGATTTGTTTTATTTTACATTTACTTTTTTCATTACAAGAGAATAGTGGAATGGTGTTTTTGCATTACCCCCTTCCCTTTTAATAACAAAGGCGATTTTTTCCCCCTCTCTCTTTTTGGGAAAACACAGATCTGATCATGTCAACCACTGTTTAAAAATCCTTCAAGGCTTCCTCTTGCTCATTTAAAAATGATACAACTCATAAAAATGGCCACAGCACCACTGACGTGGAATGGATTTGCCCAGGGCAGCTTTCTCAATTGTCAGAGAACAGTACACTTCTGTATCTGTTGGCTGACAGCCTCTACCCCAAGTGGACCACCCGTTCTTCCACTCTGGGAACCGTGGAGCTCCCTTAACTTCAGCATCAGGACAACAGGGGCTTGGGAGCTCTAGCCTGTGGCCTGTGTCTGCTGTGATGGGTCAGAGCCATGTCTCTGTGGTTGTCAAGTGAGAAGGCTGGGCACATCGGACCCCCATGACCCTTCTGCCTCGCCTCCCTCATTTCTCCCTTGGGCATCTCCTGGACACTCAGGGCTACTGCTTCCCTCGGGATATTTATTAAGTCACTTCCCTCTGTCTAGAACTGTCTGGCTCCCATTATGTCCCCTTTTTACTTTGGGTGTTATATCTCATTCTCCCTTCAATCATGTGTAGTTGCCTTCAGCACATGTAGGTTGGATGGGTGGATGGGGGACTGACTGATCAGTCCTATTTGAGAGGAGGAGAAGCTTGCAGATGGATTTATTCTTGAGATGGCCATTGTTCTCGACTGTGAGTCCAGTGGCCACTGTGTTATTACCTTCTCTGCTCAATGTTGCTACTCTTGGAAAGGAGAGGCTTCAGATCCAGAGGATGCTTCTTGGCTGTAAGTGCAGAGGGGAAAGAGAAAAATAATCTAAATATTTGGAATTCCAAAAGTTGTGTTGTACCAGGTAACAGGAACTTTCCTATCTCCTCTGACTGCATGTGGGGAGAGGAAGAGGATGAGAATCAGAGTGAAGCAAGAAAGGAAAAGAGAAGTAGATAACCCGAAATGTGTTTGACGACCCTGGGATGCCTCATGGGAATCTGTGACATTCCATCCAGAAACCAGTTTGCTGATGTCCTCAGAGCTTGTGGCTGCACATTATTTATTCTCTGGACTCAGTGTGGGTTATAGGTCAAGTAGGGGACCAGGCGTAGGCAGGAGCATGAACTCAGTCTGTAGGACAACATCCCAGTCCTCTGGAGGAGGAAGGAAAATAACTGGCGAAAAAGCAAGGGAGGAAATTTGCCCCTAGATGCTTAGAAACAGTTTAAATTGACAACAGCAGCAAGTTCACCAGCTCTCAGAGCATTTGGGGTTTTGTTTATCATGCTCATCTCGTCTCCTTATTACTCATTCATTGGGCACAAGTTTGCCTTGGCTTTTCCGTGTACATAAGTTTACAACCTAAAAAATGAAAGGAGCAATTTTACAAGCATTGCGAGGGATCCTGGTACCTCAGCTAGAGCCTGAAATTAGGGGGTTTGAACATATGTCTCCTTTCTTTCCACCTCCAAATGCTAGCAGAGTAGGGAATGATATAGTGGATTCCTTCCCTGCCAGGACAGAACCCCCTAAAGTGCCATCTGGATGAAAATACTAGGGTGTATCAAAAGCAGGGTTTTTCCAAGAGCAATTTTTTAAACTCTGGCCCCAAGAAATGTTCTGGTGGTAAAAGGATTCATAGTCAAATAAATGTGGGAAACTCTGCATAGCCTCTCCTCTCACGAGCAAGCTCTGCTTCTTAGTGAAGTGAGGGGCTGGGTTCCACACTGCCTGCCTGCAGCCTGGGTGCACATTCAATTGTGCTTGCTCCTCTGGGAGCCAGGCAGTTGCACCTGGCTGTATGTGGGTGCTTCCTCACACTCTGGGGAGCCTTCACCATGTTTGGATACCAGGCTTTAGGCCTGGCAACCACAAGAGAAGTGGCTGAAGACTCTGTGTATGTGGCTGTCTGCAGAGAGCAGGCTTCGTGAGGTGGGGTGGTGGAGTCCTCTGCAGGGCAAGCACATCATTTACCACCCCATCTGGGATGATGGAGTGAGGAGGCCTCGATTAATAACTAATGCATAATTATTCTGGGACAACAGGTGTTAACACAACTCTTCTACACATCCAGATCTGACCGATAACAGAGGGATTCTGTGTTTTGTCTGTCATATAGGGCCGGTGAGAGTAGACTCTGCAGATATGTGAGGGTGGTTCTCCTCCCAAGACTCTGTATAGAAGTGACATTGACATGTCAGGCAGGCCTGGACTGGCCTCTGATTGTGATCAGAAGCTCTGACCCTTCTTTGTCCTCCCTTTTGGTGAGGATGGTAACTTCATTTATATACAAATACAAATATACAAATATAAATATTCACTGATGCTCCTACGTAATGTAAATTTCTATCTAGAATAAGTATAGTCTTGACTTTAATTAAAGAGAATGTTGTGTGACATATAAGCAAAATATGGTCAAAATAATTTGGCTAATTTTGAAGTGGATCAGAATCAGTTCTAAACAGCCAGCCTAGGTCAGTTGGATTAAGCTTGATCAATAATAATTATACTTTGATTATACAAGATGTTAACATTAAGGAAATGTTAAAATGGTCAGGGTATAAGGGTATTCTCTGGAATGTTTTTGAAACTTTAAAATCTAAAATTCATTAAAAATAAATAAATTCATATCCTATGCTCCTGAGCTCTGTTCATGTCACACCTATTTGAGGATCTCCCCCCATCCTTTAAGATTCAGCTTAGCTCACACAAACTTCTCAGATTTTCTGTCTTGATGTAGGGATTGTTCCTCTAAGTCCCCAGATGTTCCTGCATATTCCCCACTTATACCTACCATTACTAATATGGTTTTCTGGCTATACCTCACTTTCCCCTAAGCCCCTTTTAGACTGTACTGCTTTCTCCATTTCACATTTCCTCCTAGGACCAACGTCACACTAAGCTCTATAATTAATGTCTCTTCAATGAATTAATAAATCAATTCAATGTAAACAAGTTTTTTTATTAGTTTTGCTTTCTTCTTTTTAAATGGTGGTTTAAAAATATACATACCATAACATTTATCATTTTTAAGTCTACAATTCAATGGGATGAAAACCCATTCCAATATTGTGGAGGGTTTTTACTGGTTTTCAATGATAAAAACTGGTCAGAATTTACAAGATCTGTTCCATCCACTGGCTCTGGACCTGGGGGACCCATGGCCTACAGGATCCATTTAATCCCACTCTCACTAGGTCCCTCACATCAAAATCTGTTCCATCAAGTGTGGAATGATTTCATCCCATTTGAGCCAGCCTGAATCTTTCAGCATGAGCCATGCCCAGGCTGCAGGCCCTTGGAGTTGGTTCTCTTTCTTTGGCTTGACCTCTTGGGTTGCCCTTTTACCTTTTGTTATTTTGTTCCTGGGGCTCTCTTTCCCATTGCTTGCTCTTCTGCCCCTACAAAGCCCACCACACCCCTGCTTGGTGTGGCCTGGCTCTGGGACAAGGAGCCTGCATTTTGCCACCACCTTCATTATGGCACAGGTAACATCTGCACTTTCCAAACATCCCCTGTGGGCAGGCTTTAGTGGTAGTAATAAACAAACAGGCTGAGTCATCTTAAGGATGGAGACGCCCATACCTCTTCAAATGTTTAGGGTCACTCCTGTCTGCCCTTTGAAAAGGAGGGACATTTTCTCACACTCTATTTCCTACTTTCCCAGCTCTAAACACCTTGATTTGAATTTGAAGAATTTAGCACTGCCTTAGGAGTGAAGAAACTGGGCCCTACTAATTTTTCTTTTTTTGCCATTAACTAGCTATGTAACTTTGGTCATATCCTTTGTGGAACAGTATTTCCCAATTATTAAAAAGAAGGGGTTGGAAATACAGATTGAAATGTGATTTTTTATTTTTTTATTTTTTGCAGCAAGCTATTGCCTTGAATACCCTAAGAAGTTATACGCCAGATTGTTTTGTCTTATGTAAAAGAGTATGCTTTAACTTTCGTCTGTTAATCCTAGTTTCATATAGAGGTTCTTGTCCTTTCCTTTTGCCCTCAGAAGGAGCCCAGTCTTATTGTGTGTGTGTGTGTGTGTGTGTGTGTGTGTGTATGGGGCAGGGTGGGGGTCGGGGAGCGGGGTCCTTCTTCACTACCCTCTGCTCTGCTCTGGTCCAGCTTTAACCCCATCCTCTTGCAGAAGGAATGACTGTCCCAAAATTCAAGGATGCCCTTGTCCCTTGTGTGCCTCCATCCTTCAATGGCTCCCCACAAATCTCAGGATAAGATTAAGGGGGAATCAAAACCTTCCACCTTTAATCCCTAACCTACCTCCTGGTCTCTGCTGTCCTCTTCCTATCCTCCCTAAGAAGATCCTGGACAGCTCGGACCTCTTTCCTTCCCACAATCGCCACCGTCCTGCCCTCATAACTTCTGTCTATGGTCCTCCCCTCTATCAGATGATGCCTCTTTTCCAGCTGCGCACAGATCCACTTCGATCACGGTCTAAAGGGACCCTCCAGTGGGGTCGCGGGGGTGGATTGGGGGCCAATCCTTCCCGAGGCCGCCGCCAGGGGGCGGCAGGAGCGGCTCCAGATGACAGCGGGAGGCCGCGAGTGGGGGAGGGAGGAGGGATCGAGGGAGCGCGGATCCCGCTCTCCGGATCGCAAACTCCGAGCCAGAGCTGTCGGCGCGCGCCCCAGACGCTGGCCGCCCGCGCAGCCCGACACGGAATCGGGCATAGCGGGAGCCCGTGGAGGGCGGGCGCGGGGCGGCGCGGGGGTGGCCGTCCATACGCGAGTGCTTGGGGCTGCCCGGCGCCGGGAACCACGCGGGGGCGAGGTGAGGCTAGGCGGCCTCTGGCCGCTCCGGGACACGGACCGCCAGGTGAGCAGAGCCGCGCGCCCCGCGCTCCCTGCGCGCCGCCCGCGCGGCCCGGCCCTGCCCGGCAAATGCCCCAGCCCGGTGCCCGCTGGCTTGCAGGGGGATTGGCGTGGGCGTCCGGGCGCAGTGGGTGTGTCTGGGGTCCAGTGGGACTGCGCCCACTCGGGATTGGGGAGCCAGTGCGCGCCGGGTCCGTGCGGACGGCTGCGTCCGCTTCTATCCTTCTTTTCCTTTCCCGGGAGTTTTGCTCAGCTTGGGCTCCAGCACTCACCCCTCCACCCTCTTGACTCCGAAGGTCTAGGGACTGGCAAACTTGGCGTCCTCGGGGTGGGGCATGAAGCTCCGTAAATCGGGTTGGAAGGGGACCTGCAAATACACATGCTGCCGGTGCGTCCCCCACCCCAGCCTCCTTTCCTCCTGTCTGGGGCTCATCCAGCCTCAGCGTGGGGCCTTGGCCAAGCTGTTTTCTAGAAAGCCTCTGATCCTTATGTCAGTCTCTGCTAAACCGCTGCAACCCTGCGCCTCTGGGAGCCTAAGTGCTTGGGCTGTTTACACCAGCTTGGGACTTTTTCTCAAGTGAAGCCCAAATACCTGTGGCCCCTTGTCACAGTACAGAATTAAGTTTTGCACAATTTGCACCTTGCAGTTTTAGAGATCTGGAAGTTAATTTTTATTTTTCTTTCAAATAATATCAGCTCTGACTTAGGAAGGGAATTTCAGGGCGTTCTCAGGCCCACTTAGCATCTGGAATTTACGGGTCGAGTGACTTTTTAAGCAGTCCACACCCAGCACCTTGTCCCCAGTCTCCACTACTGTCAACTAAAAGAGCATCTGTCTTTTCCTGCCTTTGCCACCCCCAACCGCACAGCGCACGACCTCTTTGGGAGTAAGTGAATTGAAGACTTGGACCTGGGTAGCTGAAGCAATCACTGGATGCCTGTTGGAATTTGGAATAAGTAGTTATCCGAGAGGGGTCCAAGGAATCAGTTTGTCCAACTCTCGTTTCACAGCTGAAGGCGCCCAGGCAGGGTCTAAAGATGTTTTTCAAAGCTCACTCAGTTTTTGAAACCTGCGTCTTCTGCTACATTGATATACTTGGACTGGATTGAGTTGGAAGTGATGGAGTTGCTGCTGGGCTAAATAGGGTCTTGTATACTGGTCTCAGTATACAAAAGAATAAACATTTTATGAATGTAATTTAAATACAGTCCTACTCAATTCCTATAGATTTTTGTTGGCACCATAGTTGAATTCCTTTAGAAAACAAAATCCTAGCCCTTGGAATTAATGCAAGGAAGCAGATGGGAGTCCTGGGACTTTCCTATAAACCTCTGCAGTGCTGCAGTAGGGGTTTCCCAGAGGTCCTGGCCTGGAAAATGAGTTTGGGTGATCAGAACAGAGGAGCCACTACTGAATAAGCAATTATGCTGACCTCCTGTGGGGAGGGCTGGCCAGTTGAACTCATGTGCCCATGATTCTGCATGGGAGATCCCCTTGGTGCCCAGCCCTGGGCAGGGCACCAACTTGGTCTTATCTTCTTTTTAGTACCCTGTGCTATGAAGAAGTATTTTTAGCTGGTTGTCAGGGAAAGAACAATTCAGTCCAGAGTTTGGACATAAGATCAGGGTTGAAGATTTTAACTTGGAGTTTTTGTTTTTACCTGCAAATGCTTGTTATAATGCAGTCAGTGTCCTAGAGAGAGGTTGGGTATTGCCCTGTCCCTCTCCATCCCCCACTTTGCTCTCCAGGGTAATACTTTTATTCTGGCTGCAGAGAAATTGTCTTGATGTTGGAGTGTCCCCTACATTGCTAACTCATTCACCACAAAGTCCCTTCTACATTCTTTTGTGATATCTCAAGGAATGATTTTCCTGCTCCCACCTTAAGCTTTGTCCAAATTACAGTAATAATCTCCCCTCTTGACTCCTCACCACGAGTTACTTTCTTCATTTAAATCCATCTTCTTTCATGTTGACAGATTAATATTCCTAAAATTCTGATTTCACCACATCATTCCTCTCATGACATCACAATGGCTCCACAGAATTCATTTCTGTCAAATTTTTCTCCAGCAGCTATTTCAGAGCATCTGCTGTGTGCCAGGGACTGTCACTGTGTGCTGGGGCTTCCTTTATGAACAAGACCACACCACTGCCCTCAAGGAGTTGGCAGGCTCCTCGATGATAAATGACCATTGGAGAGAGAAAGAGAAGCAAAGAAATAACTACAAAGCAAAACAAGGATGTGTGTGTGTGTGTGTGTGTGTGTGTGTGTGTGTGTGTCTTGCAAAACATCAAGGAGATAGATAAGGGAGAGAATGATTCTGCATGGGAGAACCTAGGTCAATTACCATTGGGTTTTGCAGTCCAAGCAGGAGTTCAAGGAGACGGGAAGACTGGGAGGCGTGGGGTATGCTGACCAGTGGGAAGAGCCGAAACAAAGACCCAGAACTGTGCGTGCTGGTGTGGACAATGTTGAACCAAGGCCAGCCTTCATCTGGACCTTTCAGACGTTTCCTAACTCAAGTCTACTTTGTTGAAATGAGAGCTGCCCAACTCTTCTGTGCCTGAAACCCCTCACTCCATGTCCCATTCTCTTTATCTCCATCTTATCGGCCCTCCACTCTACAAGCACCCCTGAAATTCACCAGGATAAAAGTGTTACCCTGGAGAGCAATTTAGATTGCCCTCTACTAATCTAAATGTTGCAAGGCAATATCTTCCAGCCCATTTTTCCATATCTGAATCAGAATTAGGATCTGGTAGAAAAAAAAATGAACAGGTTCTAGGGTGGAGCCAGGGCCTGAGAATTGGCATTTTAAATGCTGCTTCAGGTAATTCTTCAGGGAACTCGGGTTTGAAACCCGTTGCCTTGGGCTGTCTTTAAAAAGGGAGGTTCTAGTGATAGGAACAGAGTTAAGGTGCTGCTATTTATTGCAGATGGCACCTTCCTTTTTTACAGAAGCCTTGACCTTGACTCTAAGGAGTGAGAAATGGAGACTTGGTTGTTCTTGCTTGGTCAAAGATCATTCAGTTCAGTCCTGAAAGCAAAGACACCCCCTTCACCCTTCATCCTACCAGAAGGCATCTAAGTTCATCCCCATGGGACTCACTGTGAATTTCTTTTGGGGCTTGAGCAAGTGCTGAGGGAGAAAGATCAGGCTGCCTTGGTTTGAGAGCCCCAAATTTCTGGGGATAAGAAGGTGGTCAGGATTTACCAAATAGGACGGGACTTGACATGCTAGCTACCCTCTCATTCCCCAGAGTGGAGTCTGGCCATTGACAGATTCTCATTCAACAGGTCCTCCTCCCACCCCATCCTCAGTCTTCCCACATGTAACAAGGGGATAGCCAAAGCTTTGAGGGCTGGGTGGGAAGCATTGCACTGGCACCTAGTAGGTGCTCAGGGTCAGTTCTCATACCATTCTTCTTGTCTACTCTATGATTGGTCAGATTTGCAGTTGGCCAACTGTCAGTCCAGGGAATTGTGTCAGAAAGGCTGAATTTTTTAATCCTATATTTGAACCCATCACATGAACACTCCCAGCTGTGCAGAATTAATGACTATCCATCCAACATCCCCTCCTGTCCCCAGTTTCCTTTTACATTTCCTAAGGAAGAACTAAGAAACAGGCAGAGCAGTTTTCCTTGCTGATGTGTAGTCATCCTGGAAGAGGGGTCTCTTTCTGTTTATCTCCTCTTCTTTTCACTTCCTCTTTCAGCCGAGGGTCCCACACAGGGGGTCTTCTCCAGTGGGCCTTTCTGATCCTGAGCCCCAGTCTTCTTGGGCGTGTTCCATGGTCTGTAGGGCAGTGAGACAGACTTGTGCCTCTGTGTCTTGTCCTGGAAGGGTGGCATCAGGCAACCCGCAATGGGGTGGGCCGAGGGTAGGCTGCCCCACCCTCCCTCCGGGCTTCTTGGCCAGCTGCCCAAGGGCTGGCCAGCGGGGAGGACCAAAGTAATGAGTGATTAATGGGCGCCTCATCTAATCTCCTGCCAGGGGAAATGAAGGGCCAGCCATGGGCTGGGAGCTCGTCTTGACCTGCTCCAGGTGGGCTTGGAATGTACCCAGCTCAGGATGGGGATTAAGGCTTGAAAGAAGAGAGGAAATGAGATGTTAACCCTTTAGGCCATGGCCCTCTGAGCCCCAGCAGGGAAACAGCAAGGGAATTATCTGCAGGTATCTGATGAAAGGGGAGCATCTTCTTTGATATATGATGGGGATGCAGCCATGTGATTACTGAGGGGGTTGGTGGTGGTCATGAGCCATGTCTTTGAGTGAACCATTTTTCTGAGAGGCATGGTCAGGAGAGAGAAGAAGATTAATTTCCTGTGACAGTGGATAAATGGCCTGCTGGGAGGCTGCCCTACCTCACTTCCTTCTTGGAAAACTTCCGATCATATCAGCAAGTTACAAGTTTGTAGTTGCCAAATGTACTTTCCCCCTGAGGTGTAGCTCCTCAGACTGCTTGTCATCTGGAGGAAGGACTCTGGCCCTGGCTGGACATCCTCTCCTGCAGTGGAGTCTGCCTCCTCTCCCAGGTCAGGCTGGGCTCAGTAGTGCTCATGTGACTGCCCTGCCTCGCCAGCTCCCTGAGTTCAAGCCTAGGTTCCAGCAATTTCCTTAACTAATGTGCTATAATTTTTCCATCCATTCAATGAGGGTAAAAAATAATGCATAACCTGGGTGAGGTTCACGAGAGTGTAAAAATGCTTAAAAACAGTCTCAGGCACGTTCAAGGGCCACTTGAATGTTAGTTTTCTTTTCCTTGCCTATCTGGTTGAATCCCAGAATCATCTTCTTTTGCAAATGATGCAAAGCATCTCCTCCTGCAGGGCTCTGAGGCTTGCTTTGGGTGAATCCAAGACTTAACTCTGATTGATCTTACTTGTTTGACCTCTGACCCTACATGCCTTGAATTCTGGCTCCTCCTCCAGCTGCAGGCTTGGTGACCTCCTGCTGCCCTTTTGATTACACCACCCTGCCCCTCAGCCCGGCCTCCA